GACGTGTGTGTGTGTTTGTGTGTGTACGTGTCTGTGTGTGTGCGTGTGTACGAGCGCGTGCTTGCATGAGCGCGTGTGTGTTCAACCCCAGTCTTAGCATTGTGTTAGCTCTGGTCCTGTAGGTTTCCACTCAGGTTTGATCAGTGTTGCATGACTCAGACAGACAGGCCCACAGCTCCCAGAGCAACACTGGGACATTCCTGTCTGTTGTCTGGTCTTCTCCGGACACGGCTAAGTCCAACGCCAACCTGGAGCACAAGAGCCCCTCCGACATTTAAGGAGAATACAGAAAGCATAAGAGTTTGGGTGTTTTGATACGTTGGAATAATAGCACTGAGTGCAATATCCAGTCGATTGTTCATTACAGAAGACAATGCAGTGAGGTTCTGTTGTGTTTTCTGTTTATTGCCTTCATTTGCATGTAAATGAAAGCTGTATTGTAGCCGGAGGACAGGCTGTGTTTTGGACACTCTGCACCCTAGGGTCTTCCTGCATCACATGTTCAAACTATTATGTAAAAAGACTGCACACTCACAGCACATGCCTAAAGCAACTTGGAGGAAATATGCTAATTGTGTTAATTGTTTTGTTGTTTGCACCCCCATCTGTGATCACATATGTACACATACACCCTTTTCCTATATGTTATCTGTGTGGTTTATAATATTGTATAAACAAAAATACATTATACTAAAATAATTTAGCAGCATTGCCCCATTATATTAAGGCATAATTATATAATTTCTGTCATAACATTTCTATTTGCTACATTGTTTACTTTGTTTACTTTTTCATTTGGTGGACCACTCTTTATGGTATGCACAGCCTGGCTCTATGTCCATGATCCACTTGCCACTCTACAAACCTCTGCCTCTCTTCCCATTTCTGAAAGCATTTCAGAAAACTGACAAACTACAGGAAACAAGCTCAGGCAGAGATCCAGCCCAGCTGTCACAACATTTGTCTCTGAATCTGACAAATGGATTTTACAAAGTGTTACCTTTTCGAATACCATCTTTGGACAAAATCCAGAATGACTCTGAAAGACAAACTCACATTTTCATGAAGACTATGAGCAAGTATTCTACTGTATAGAGGTTAGAGGCCTATATCCTCGGGCATAGTATCGTGGATGACAGATTACCTCTTTGCCAGCGGAAATAGGTTATTTTTTCAGGAAGACATACACTCGATACTTAATTTGGCCAAAAGTAATTACACTGTAGTCTTACTGTCTCAGACAATGGGCCCCACCCCAGTTTTTGTAACAATACGGGCTATTAAGCTCAACCAATTCTACTGTGTCCGACGTGAGTTGTAGAATGCGTGTAATATCAATGCTGATAAGGCTGCTGGTGCGGTTGTGAGGAGAAGAGGTGACTAAAAGCGTGATGGATGGTGAGGGACATCTTTGGCGCACCTTCTCATTTTATCATTACACACAACATTTCCCAAGAGCTAAGCTTTGATTATTTTAAAAATATCTTCCTTTCGTTTTTTGTCTATAGCCTACCCGATTTTAAATAAAAACGTATTGTGATACTTGCGTACATCAATATATTGGTCTATACACATCCTATTCTAGTGCTATACATGTTTTTAAACCATAAGACGGTGGCTCAAGGAAAATATAGTTATCGTGAATTTCTCGCTGTATAACCTAATGAAAAAACTCAGCTCAAGTGGAAAACATTGTAGGCCTACTTATTAGGTAGCCTATTATGGTTTATTTCAAATTACAAAGTGAATTAGGCCTACATTGTGGGCGTTTAATAAACATGTACCATTGCGATTATGTAGCTTATCTGTATGGCTTTTGGTTAATTCCGGTTGGAAAATAAGATAAGAACAGTTACTTCCTTCTCCCATAATAAACCATTCGTTTGATGGTGTAAGTTCAAATATTAGTAAAAAAATAAATAAACATTGCTTAGCCTATTATTGAAATTAATTTAGAAAGCAGGGTGTAGGCCCTAATTCAAAACTCTCGATTAAGCAAAGGTTTTGGCATATTTCGAATAGGCAGGGGAAAAACCGTCATTAGCAAATTAGCAAAAACATTAATAAATATGTCAATTGTAAATCAAATCTTGTGGATGAATTTACATCGGGCATGTTTTACTTCAATTCCGGTTGGCTATAAGATAAACTAGATAGACATGGCTTAGGTCACCAATGGTCATAGGTCAGTGGAAAACTTACAAATTTTCCTGTTTTCATTATTGTTGTCATTATTATTATTAGTCTTATTATTATTATTATTACTTGTTTAGTTCAAATCAACCGGTAACCAACAGGCAGTCATATCAACTGGCAAAACATGTTCTTCTGAATATTGTTTTTAGCCCACAGTGTCTCAAATTCACGCAGCCCTCCTTATGTAAAGTAAGCAATGTACTGATCCCAAATTATCCCTTTACATTATGTAAAGTAGTCTACAAAAAAATTATTGACAACGGGAAGACAGAAACAACGCATTGGTCTATTGATCTTGAGTTCACCTGGCGCTCTCCTTTGGTCGAAGCTCACGCGCACTCACACAAGCTCTCTAACTTTGATTTTACTAGGCCTAGGCCAACTGCATCTGAGATTTAATCGACACCACCGCTTACACAATAGGCATATAACGGATGTTGACGCTAGCTCATGTGGTAAATTATTTAAAACATGTATATGTTAGCTTATATACCTCTATTACCTGCTGGCATTAAGCTATTTTACCTCGGGCTATTGGAGAGTCCCTTCAATAAGCATTTGAAAGAATATATTTATCTCCATAGCTTTTAGGGTACTTGCTCATATAATTTCAAGGGGTTTGAAAACACCATGTATTTTTGAAAATGAAAGCCTATTCCTATGTCATCTGAAACAGTAGGGCCTACAGCTGTTCTAAACGCAAGTACTCGCACAAACACACACCGGGAGAGAGAGAGTACTGAATATTTGTCAGTTTGCTCATAACTGTAAAAGCATGTAAAACGATCTATAGGCTACAGTTGATTTATTATGTTTACGACGGACTTCGGCCTACATTCTTGGCAAAGACCTGTCGAATAGGCTATGTAGGGTTTAATGTCAATAGTCTCCTTCATGCATCATTGTTATAATATAATAATAATAAGCCATTTAGCAGACGCTTTTATCCAAAGCGACTTACAGTCATGTGTGCATACATTTTTAGGTATGGGTGGTCCCGGGGATCGAACCCACTACCCTGGCGTTACAAGCACCATGCTCTACCAATTGAGCTACAGCTTTTCCGGGGATAAATGTGCGCAGGTAAATAATAATACCTTTGTTTTCAGTGCAGTCTACTTTTTGTACAAATATAGCTTATTTTTCGACAAAAGGGACCCCATAGCCACAAAACAAATCTTATAGGCCTACAACATGTGGTCCTCTGTAGCTCAATTGGTAGAGCATGGCGCTTGTAACGCCAGGGTAGAGGGTTCGATCCCCGGGACCACCCCATACGTAAAAATGTATGCACACATAACTGGTAGTCGCTTTGGATAAAAGCGTCTGCTAAATGGCATATTATTATTAAAAGGAAATAACATCTTCTCATGCTTAAAATGTGTTATAATCCATTAGGGTGCGTTTCCTATTGAGTTGTATGGACTTCATTTATGGCTATTTACCTGCTCTTCGTTTTCATCCGTTTAGAGAAGATGCACCCTCTGCATTATGAGTAGATCAGAATTCAAATGAATAATTTATTTTCAAATGATCAGGCTATAATATCCAAATGTTTGGGAACATGTTTTATATCTAAATGTTTGGAAATAACAATGCAAGAATAAGGCATGTCATTATGAGTATAATTGTCCTTAATAATGTTATTTTCATGTTTTATTTACCTGCAGTATGGGCCTAAAGTGATTAAGGAAGCAATCTTACTTACTCGTGGACCCACCCTCGTGCACACTGACCTCGCGCATGATCTTGAAGAGAGCCGCGTGACCTATGAATCCAGCCAGGCTTTGAGCCGCGCGCTCTGTCTGGCTCCCATTCCATACACGAGCAAATGGTGTGTTTTATCTTTCTAGCACAACACAAAGAGTTAAGGAAATGTGTGAGAACTGTAGTGGCAATTGCATGCGCTGCAAAGCTCTGAACAGGCCTGATATCATCATGCCTCGTAATAAAATGTCCCTTTGTAAAAATACACCATATGAATATGAATACAGTGACCCCACTCACTTGAACCAATGAGCTACAAACCAACTCCATAGACACTACGATTTATTATTTGAATCCTTGAATCTATTGCACAGAGTAGTGCACAATACAAAAAAAGAGTAGTGTTGCCTTTTTCCCATATAAAAATGTTAATTTGGAAACATGGTTTAGATGTAGTAGATAATATATTCCCTCTAACCATCGAGGGAGATAACATATATTTATTTGTAGTATTCCAAGATATCGTGAATCCAACACGAGATTAGTCATATAGACCAATCTTTCCGGCCCAAACGTAGTTTGAGGCTTACATCAAGCGGCAGGCAACTAATGAAAAACAGTGGCCTACTGATTGTTAGGGACTCGCAGTTCAGGAAGAAAGTATAGTCTATAAGAGAGAGATTCATAGTTTTTTTTTTTTTTTAGGCAGGTTTTTTCGATAAAATCTTTGGCTTGAAGTGGCAGATCACGCAGTCTGTAAATTCATCGAGGTTTGATATAAGAGAGAGATCACAAAACATTAGGCCTAAAGCGACAAAGATAACAATCATATCATTATCCAAGTGCAGGGTGAGTAGTACTGTAGCATATCCCCTTCGCCTTAAATTATATATACAGAGTCACATTTTTGGCTATTCATTTTCCATCATGTTTGTAGTTTGTATGCATATTTTTATCGTTTATGTTCATACAAAACCTATCAAGAAATGGAACATATTTTACACTAGCCTTGACTATCCACAAATATTTCGTCCCCAAAAGGTGACTCCTGCACCATAGTTTTCCGAGTTTGTAGCACATTTGGGGCAAGCGAAGTCTCAGTCACTCTCCTCCTTGTCTTCCTGAATGGTTGTGGTGGAATGGTTGTACAATCCTTGCGCCATGAGCTGGAGAGCAAGGCCGTTCTTATAACCGTTAGCTTTTTTGATTTTGGCCCGTTTGTTCTGGAACCAGATTTTGATTTGTGACTCATTGAGGTTGAGCTCCTGGGCTAGAGACTGTCTCCTTTGCTCCGTAATGTAACGGTTGGCCTGAAACTCCGTCTTCAGTCTTTGGAGCTGCTCAGCCGTGAACGCCGTTCTGGGTCGCTTGTCTTCCTTTTCGTTTTTCGTCTTTTTCAATTTCCGTGTCCTTGGGCCTACAGTAGGGACGACAATAAAAACGGGAATATAAATATTCAGCGAGCGCCAGAGATCTATAGCTTTCATCTCCCAGAAACAATTCCATTGCAGATTTTAGACTAGACTTCATAATAATAGCCTTACAATAAAAGCTACGTACCCTAATAATAACCATGATCCTATATTAATAATAATAATAATAATAAACAATAATAAACAAAACGTTATTATAAGATCATTATTTGCTGTAGGCTATAAAACGTTATGGTCATCCTAATGCTAGGCCTATAATAATCACTATGAATAACATTAGGCTACTGAAAAGAGTAAGGTCCATGCTGCACTGAGCGGCAGGCCTTTGTGTGAAGTAGCTGTGGGTCGACTATCATAATTATTTAGCAAAAATATGCAAACCCTAAAACTTAAAGCCAACTACAGCAATTTGACAACATACAATAGTTTTAGGACTTTTGGCAAGTGTGTCTGTTATAGATCTACCATTGATCAAAAGCCTACTAAAAATATAATAATTCAAGCTCAGTGATCTCTAGCTTTGTTGACATAGGCTAATAAAGGCATTCATTCAGATATACTGATTTTATGTCCAAATATTTTTCCCAAAATGCAGACTTAGGTATAGGCCTATGTGCGTATGGGTACGCTACAGTATAAAATAAAATATAAAATGGCCTCCTTTGTTATCATGGGGCTGGAGACAAACAAACAGCCACAAATAAACAATATGATGGGAAACAGGAAATATAATTTATCCGTTAATATTTATTTCTTAAGTTTGTAGGCTATTTGATGCTAGGCCTATCTACTTTTTCTAACACAAAAACAAAATCTTCAGTACATTTTATTTTATTTTATGTTGACTTATATAGGCCTAGCTTTAAATTCCCTGTCATTATTTTTGCAATGATTTTGTCAATACGTATGGCATAAAACGCAGTCTTTTGGACAAGTGTACGTTAATTATGAAAAGCTAATTTATTCACATGCCAAAACACCAATGGAACCATTGGACTTTCTTAGCCTAAACAAAATAAACATTGTGCATGCTTACCATTTAACGTAGCCTAGGCTACTATTGATTAACAAAATTAAGTTGGGAGAATTACACTAACTGCATACACAGATAATATACAGCCTTCCCTATCAAGACAGTCAAAATGGTTAATTAATTCAAAATGTCGACAGCAATGAGATTCTTATCCAGGTTCTCGTTTTTTCAGGTGCACCTTCTTTAATTTAATTATATTCAACCTTGATTTTTCTAGTCTCATTGCGATTTTAAAATATATTGAACACGGTCTAATACAATTATTGTAGGTTGTGAATAATATAAACGTAAAGCCTACATAGGCCCATATGAGCCTAAACTTGTATTCTGTTAAATGTAAGAGTTATATCTCTCTTTCAATTCAATTAATGGAGTATGTTCTCATTTTAAGTGACATTATTTTAAAACATGTCACATCTGCAAGGAATTTTGTGGTGGGCCTTTAGCCTACAATATGCAACCAGTGGCCATGGGATCAAGATTTAACTTGCAAATAAGAAGAGTGAAATGTTAGGCCACACATTCATCAACGACATGTTGTTTACATATTCTGATATGTTCTCAAATATGCTCTTGAAAACAAACTACTCGATTTTTCACTGTTTCCATTTATTTTACTTTCTTGGTAGAATGTGGACGTGCTAGACTAAGTCTGTCAGTCAACTAAGCCAATCAGTGAATATTTTCCAACTTGCACCACGTGAATTACAGATATTGGTAGACTATCTTGAATAACATCAAAACAATAAATGACTCATAAGATCAATAAATAAATGACAAAGTATACAGTAGGTTAATACTGATGCTACACAATCCTACTGCAGTATTTATGTATAATATTAACACAAAATTGTTCAAGTGGCCTATTTTGTGCTTTTTTGCTCCTTATATTTTTGTAATAAATAAAGGATTCTTTACAAATAATAGCTTATATCATCATTTAAAATTGAGAAGGTTTGCTTCCAGTTGAAAATTGATTGAGTATGTTAGCGTATATTTATGCACTCCAGCCAGTCATTATTTTCATGCAGTAACAGGCCCACTAAGCCTGCACTATTGCCTACATATATTTTCCTTAATCACAGTGCGAAAATAGAGTATAAAATACAGTTTTATTTCACAAATGAAGGTGCAACTTCCACGAATTAATCTAAAATACATCAAATACAAGCATCTTGAGGAAAGACTACTATTTCTGCAAATGGATTATTGCGCATTTATAAAATTACGCATTAGGCCACAATACCCTGATAAAAGCTTGTTAAAAAACTATTGCCTCACCAGATGAGGGTCTGTCCGAGTATCTAGTGCAATACACCCAGGCAGGCCACAGCAGCGGCTGGGATTCGGGGGAGGACGCTGCGCCGCCACTAACGCCGTTCACAACCATAACAGGAGAAGTGTTCTCGCCGAACTTGGGCGTGCTGCCTCCGGAGCTCTCGTCGGCCTTCGAGGACGAGTGGCTCTTTTTGGGGGTTGGAGACAAGGCCAAGGACGAGGTGGAGGAAGAAGTGCTGTCGCTGCTGCAATTGGAGTCCTGGCATGGCGTTCCAGGATGAGTCGGCCTGGCGCCCAAAGGGTGGGCGCGCTCTAGGCTGGAAGTCTGCGCCCGCTCCCTCGCAGCTAAGCTCTGCTCCTTCCTGCAGCCGAAATCTGGCCGCAGAATATTGTCAATAAAAAAGTTGGTGGTTCTGTGCGCCTGCTGCGCTGCTTGGAGAGGCAGCATGGGCGGCGAAGGCAGACTGGGAGAAGGAGAAACGCTCTCCCCTTCACTCAACTCCGGGCTGTGTAGATCCCTTTGCTCCTCCATCACTGAAAATGGCTGCAAAGGGGTCGATGCTGGCTCCTAACCAATTCCACTTGTTGGTGTGTATTTGTATCCAAATATGACAAGAATTAAGCAATACGGTGCACACTAAAGGAGCATTACACCCTCTCTGATTTGGTGCACATTTCGATTTCTAAATTGTTGACATCCCTCGTGCGTAACGCACCAACGTGTCATGGTCGACGACTATGACAAGACTGACAAGGCATTGCACGCTCCTCTCCCAGCCACGAGCTTTTCTCCACTGTCTGACAGCTCGATCTTCACCAACTCCTCACATCACTCAGCTTCTCCCACACATTTCCCACACTAACCGGAAGCACGTGAACCCCTTCGAACGTGCAGTGGGCCAATCAATGACCGAGACACTTTTGGACACGGGAGACTACATCCAATAATGTCTCGCATCTCTAGGTAAGTAGGCTACATGGTACCAAATGGGTTTTGAGGAAACCCAACAAGATTATCATCGCTACTCGCCTGCTGCAAACTTGCCTGTTGTATTTTCAGCAAAATAATAGACCTATTGGAGAACACAATAGTAGGCCTAAACTATACGGATCTATACAAATTATACAATTGCATATGCCTACAGCCCACATACGTCGCCTTTTTATAGGTTAGATTTATCTTTCTGGTATGTGCCCTAATTACTAAATGGGCTTATGCATGCACAAATGAATGGTGATAGCGCACAATTCATGAATTGATTGTTAATATATAGGTCTATTGAATATATATATATATATATATATATATATATATATATATATATATATATATATATGTGTGTGTGTGTGTGTGTGTGTGTGTGTGTGTGTGTGTGCAAATATTGATATATGCAGGCTAATTTATTTCACGTGTGCCTTGGTCCTACAAACAAATGTGCAGACAAAACCAGATGAGTGGCTTTCGCCCAAAATCAAATACAAACATAACCAGATGAGTGATCCATGATGTGTTTTGATTTATGCATAGATTTCCACAACATGAGCCCGTGTTCTATACTGTCTTTCGATTCTTTGTTTATCTATTTAAAAAAAAAATGTTATTATGCACTAACACACCTGTCTGTGGGGTGTAATGGCATTAAAGGAGCACGCGCACGCACACACCAAAACGTTCTATCAAAAGCGATGTGCTTTACATTCATTCAAAACAAATTCATAATTAAAATGACTAGTGTGCAGGCCATGCAGATGCAACGCAATCATACGACCAGCCCACATTGTTTTATTTCAGTTGGGCCTACAACACTGAAATCTCTATCGACAAGCTATTTGTTGGCACTTAATTAAATTCAAATTAGGACACTATCACTATTCAATTTAGCAAAGTAGCCATTGTGAGACGCAATTCTTTACCGACGGTAAATGGGCGCAGGGACTGTTATCTTGCCTGCAAAGAGACGCCTTGAGAGGGACTGCTAAGGATAATTTATAGCTTTTAATTACTCTTCATTCCGCTTGATCAGCTAGGCGTCCATCACATGGACCAGAGGAAAAAGCCAGTCAAAAGCTCTGTCATCAATCCCGCGCAGGATGATTAATCAAAAGAGTGCACGGGACTGAGGCTCAAATACAAGCATGGGAGAAGCACGTCATTCTCAGGGTCCTGATAAAGCGCACTGAATAATACCAGGGTACTCTGAGACGCCATTTACACAGATTACTTTACTGACGGCTTAACGTTCGGTAATTCATATCACCTTTCATGTAGCCTTCTGGAGCCGGATCCTCCACAGTGGAGATATGGATGTAGCTTTTATAATGTAAACGCCTTTGGATACGTTAACGGGAAATGGTCCGGAAAAAGCCGTTTCGGCGGTATCAAATTATTCATTTAAATGTTCAATCACCATGTAGACTACAAGCACATTTTACTCGACAAATCCAGAGAACAAGGTGTTCCAAAACGGTTGTTACACATCAATGATGCATCACGCAGTGGCTGTGAATGGAACATAGGCCTACAGGCCTAGTAAGCTATTGGAGAGGCATTTGTTAAGTGGCAGGTTATTGAGATGCAGTGAATTTGTTTGAAAATAATGTATGATAGTTTGATACTATAGTATCTCTCCCTCTCTCTTACACACACACGCACTGACTGAATAATTTTGTCCTAACGTCAACAAATTAATCCATAGGCCTGCATCCACATTTCAAGAACAATTCGATGGAGGATTTATCCTCATTATTTTGACCATGCAGCGTTTAATTAGCCAGCTTCAACTCACTCCATAACTGACACCATGCAGTCACCTGTACTTGCACGCTGTCTGGGGGTTGGCGATGCCTTTGGAACTGACGATGCGCTTTGTTCATACAGTTGGAATGTTCGCGTCTTTTTGGAAACAGATGTTCTTGAAACGTTGCTCTAAATGGCCACTAGTAGGCCTACTACACTGCATCTTCAGAAAATATGAATTCCAAGTTGAAAGACACAGAGGAGACCATGGAAAAATACTCCATAATATATTTCCTAAAGGCCATATATGTCAAACTCATTCAACCGAGGGCGGAGTGTCTGCGGGTTTTCGCTCCACCCTTGTACTTGATTGGTGAATTAAAGTCAATAATTAGTAAGGAACTCCCCTTACCTGGTTGTCTGGGACTTCATTGAAAGAAAAAAAGAAAAACCCGCAGACATCCGGCCTTCTGTGGAATGAGTTTGACACCCCTGCTATAGGCAATCTCAAATAGGCCTGCCCACCCTTCCATAATATTTCATTGGAAAGTATATATTGATTGCCTATAGCCTGTGCTACGCACTTTTATTCCCTAGGGCCTATCTTGTTTTATATTTTATTCGTTTGTTTCATTTAGGCTATATTAGCCAACACCAATGTCCTACTTTAATGCTTTATGCCTGAATTGAATTTATTTTGTAACCATTTTATTTGTTACCCTTTATAGAGCGATTAGGCCTACATTACACAAGCTTACTTTTGTCATTTAAAAGGAAGACTTAACATAGAATCCATTACTAAAGTACAATTATTCTCTCAAACTTTTGATCATTTGTTTACAAACTCTTATGACAGTTCAACTGTATTTTTTCCATCCAATGTATAGACAAATATTAGGGAAATATCGTACCTGACAGAGAAGGCTGCCTGCGGGTTGTTCCACTGCTTCCTTTTGAAACCGGCATGCAAAGCTGTAGTATCCTCGACAATAGCGATCATGGGTACCACTCAACGGTACTTCAAAACTATATTATGTTTATCCATGATGTGTTTTCCTTTCATATGGCATTATGGAATTGTAAGTGGGAATGTTTCCTGACATAGAGCAATGAAGTTCAACAGAGCATTTACTGGAAGTTAGGAGAACGAGATAAAGGCGCATATGATTTTAATTATAAGATAATTTACGATTTTCTGTCTTTACAATTCACTATAGGGCCTAGTATACTGGAAAAACTAAAATGGAAACAGATTGAATTGACTATTTTTAAAACATAACTCTACATTGCAGAATTACCTATCACATTGCAAGACATAGGCCAGTTTATTATATTGGGCGATATTTTTCAGCATGGTAGAATAATAATCTAATGTGTCTATGGCCAGTAATTATTTGATAGCCTAATTACCAAACTACACATTATTTCAAATAATTCTAAGTTTTAACATTCAGTGGCTTCAGAAAGTCTTCACACCCCTTTACTTTTTTCCACATTTTGTTGTGTTACAAAGTGGGATTCAAATTGATTTAATTGTCTTTTTTTTGTCAATGATCTATACAAAATACTTGTAAGAAATTCATGAAAAATAAAACACTAATATATCTTGATTAGAAAAGTATTCAACCTCCTGAGTCAATACCTGTTAGAATGACGTTTGGCGTTGATTACAGCTGTGAGTCTTTCTGGGTACGTCTCTAAGAGCTTTGCACACCTGGATTGTACAATATTTGCACATTACTCTTAAAACATTCTTCAAGCTCTGTCAAGTTGGTTGTTGATCATTGCAACAGCCTTTTTCAAGTCATGCCATAGATTTTCAAGCCGATATAAGTCAAAACTGTAACTATGCCACTCAGGAACATTCAATGTCTTGTTAAGCAACTCCAGTGTGTATTTGGCCTTGTGTTTTAGGTTATTGTCCTGCTGAAAGGTGATTTTTTACTCCCAGTGTCTGTTGGAAAGCCGACTGAACCAGGTTTTCCTCTAGGATTTTGCTTGTGCTTAGAAAAAAACTCTGTACTCTTTGCCGATGGCAAGCATATACCTTTAACATGATGCAGCCACCACCATGCTTGAAAATGTGAGGAGTGGTACTCAGTGATGTGTTCTGTTGGATTTTAACCAATCACGTAAGGCTTTGTATTCAACACATAAAGTTAATTTCTGCATTTTTACTTTGGTGCCTTATTGCAAACAAGACGCATGTTTTGGAATATGTTTATTCTGTACATGCTTCCTTCTTTTCACTCTGTCAATTAGGGTAGTTTTGTGGAGTAACTACAATGTTGTTGATCCATCTTCAGTTTTCTCCTATCACAGCCATTAAGCTTTGTAACATTGGCCTCATGGTGAAATCCCTGAGCAGTTTCCTTCCTCTCCATCAACTGATTTAGGAAGGACACCTGTATCTTTGTAGTGACTGGATGTATTGATGCACCATCCAAAGAGTAATTGATAACTTCACCATGCACAAAGGGATATTCAATGTCAGCTTTTTATTTTGTGTTACCCATTTACCAATAGGTGCGCTTCTTTACGAGGCATTGGAAAACCTCCCTGGTCGTTGTGGTTGAATCTGTGTTTGAAATTCACTGCTCGACTGAGGGACCTTACAGATACTTACTTGTATGTGTGGCATACAGAGATGAGATAGTCATTCAAAAATAATGTTAAATACTATTATTGCACACAGAGTGAGTGCATGCAACTTATTATGTGACTTAATAAGCAAATGTTTACTCCTGAACGTATTTAGGCTTGCCATAACAAAGGGTTTAAATACTTATTGACGC